AAGACCTTAATAAATGCATGTTGAATGAATATCGGCCCAATATCTGTCTCATAGAAGATTGAATGAGGTATGTGAAAATGCCATCTAAATTACATCATTGTTCAGCCATTTTTCAGTCATGTCCACTCTTCACGACCCGATTTGGAGTTTTCTTGGCAAAGATACTGAAGTGGTTTGCCATTTTCTTCTCTGACTCATTTTTGAGGCAAACAGTATTAAGTGACTTGCCCAGGGTCACACAGCTAGTAAGTGTCTGAGTAAGGGACTTCAGGCCTGGAACATTATCCACTGTGCCACCCAGCAGTCATTAGGAATTTTAAAAAATCCTAAATTAATCTGTAATTATACTAAGTCAAACAGAATAAACTCTCATTCATTTCTCCAGCATTATTGACCAATGATGAAAACTGCCTAAACATAATGTTGTTGTATTTATCTAATCATCTTAAAGAGTTACTTGAGGCCCAGAGAAGTTCATCAACTCACCCATGATAAATCAGTTAGTCAGAAAGCAAGCATTTATGAAGCTGTTACTATATTTCAGAAAATTTGCTAAGTGCTTAGGTTACAAAGAAAGGAAGATCAATCCTTGTCCTCAAGGTGCTTATATTTGAATGAGAAGACTACATTTCAATAACCAGGTAAATATAAGAGAAGGACGAGGGTATCTTGAAAGAAGTCACTATGCAGGAAGGGCCTTCTTATGAAATCAGGATTTGACCTGAATCTTGAAGGAAGCCAGAGAAACTAAGGGAGGAGATGAAAGTGCAGCATATTATAGCCCAGCACAGGCTGTGAAAAGCCATGGAGTTGGGAGAGATGAAGTGTTGTACTGGAGAAACAGCAAATAGGCCAGGATTAGGTAAATGATGAACAATTTATCAAGAAGGTAACTTTGTCAGTGCCGTTAAGAGACTCTCATCTATGGCAAGAGTCATAGGGTAACAAGTTCATAGAAAATGACTTGCTCATGGTCACACAACCAGTATATGGTGGAGGAAGGACTTAGAGCTGGATATGCCTAACTCCAAATCCAGCACATTATCCACTATGCTACACTGCCTATCCTTGCGTCCCATGCTTAAAGTAGGATTATGCCACTAAAATGGTCACGATTGGTTACTCTGATGATAAATGGGATATAAGAATATCATATTTAGTTCTGGGTAACATGTTTGAAGAAGGCTATTAGCAAAGTAGAGCATATCCAGAGGATTCCAAAACATCATTTTTCTTCTCTAAGATCAATTTCAAAGTCATGAGAAAATAAAATTTATAATATTTAACCTTATACAGATACGCTGTGTTTCAGAGATACTGAAAATATGAAGAGATATCAATAAACAAGGATAGAAACATACCCTTGCATTTTGAAATATACTTACTATATCTCTCAACCGTTGACATGACTACCCCCAAACCAAACTTAACTTTCCGTGGTCTTAGACAATTTTTGTCCTCAGATTTTTTGTCCTGTTTCTCAGGCTTTTTGACTTTCTTCAATCACTGGATGTCAACATTTTTATTTATTTTAGAAGCAGGTGGTACAAGGGATAAAGCTTTGGACCTGGAGTCAGGAAGACCAGAGTTCAAATCCAGCCTCAGACACTTACTAGTTGTGTGACCCTGGGCAAGCTGCTTAACCTCTGTCTGCCTTAGTTTCCTCACCTGTAAAATGGGGAATAATAAAAGTGCCTAACTTTCAGGGTTGCTACGAGGCTCAAATAATACAGTATTTATAAATTTGTTTTGCAAAACATAAAGTATTATATAAATTATAGCTTAGCTTATTATTAAGGGCTTTTGTAAATGCCTTACTCAAATTTGCCATCATTTTTCCTAAAAAAAGGTGGAAAGATTTCCATTCCCTTGAGAAATCAAAGATAATGACAATGATGGCAATGATGATAGCTTACGGCCTTCCCTTTGTCTCATCTATTACAGCCCTGTTCTGGTCTACCTAAGTATGGTCTACCTGTTTAAGATTCTTTTGGTTAGAAGGGAGGAGAGTTGATGGCTGAGATACTGTGTTGTTAAGAACAAACTACAAATGACATTGAGGATGGAGCTGATAAATGGTAGGAGGTAGGGTGGCAATGGAAAAATTGTTCCAGTTTTGCTACATTCCTAGTGTTTGCCAATGTTGCAGTAATATTAGAAAATTTGCTGTCAAGATGCTAAGTGGAAACATTTCACTTTCTGCTATAGGAAGGTATATAGAAACTGGTTATACAGTAGATGCAGTCCCCTCACATACACTTTTTTTTTTGGTCTGAATCATTTTTATTTTTATTTTTTTAAAACAGTATAGGGAACTTTCAACAGAAAAAAAGCTCCCTCTACTAATGCAAGTTTGCAACTATTCTGCAATGGATAGTACTTGAATTGACTGAGGCACTGAAGTTAAGTGACTTACTTGCCTAGGGTCACACAGTCAATAGGGATCAGAGGTGGAACTTGAACCTGTGACTTCCTGACAGACAGTGGCTCTCCATCCACTACCTTACACTGCCCCAAAACGGAGACTTACTAATTAGAGGACTTTAGGAAGTCAAATTGATATAGCAAACAATTAAATTCACACAACTTATTCCATGGAATTAATATAGGGTATTTCAAAGGGTAATTAGTGATCATGCTATAGAAATTAATTTATATTATGGTTTGAGGATGAATGCAGAAGCTGCAAGATACTGTGGATGCCCAGGTCCCCCAGGTTTGACTGAGGCTTTGATTAGATCATCCCAAATTCATGTAGTTACATGGCTCCTCTCAACCAGCAGACATCAAGCAGGCCTACATATTCTGAATTTAATATATGTATGAACACACCAACTGTAAACTATGTCAGATTTGTTTGTAGAAACCATTAATAAGGACAACAAAATTATAGGCAATTATCCAATTTGCATATGCAAATCCAATGCGTTACAGGTATAAAGGGTATGTATATATTTTTACAAGCTTCCCCATTGCATCCTTGAGTAGTTGACCTTTCATATCTATTAAAAATCATTATGTATCCAGATGGTAAGTGCTATCTTACTTGTGACAAATACAGACACACAAATAATTGCCATTTTCAGACAGACTAATTGAGCAGTTTGAAAAAGAGGGTATGGGATAATTTGCAGGGATGACAGCCAAAGAAAAGGTTCTACAAATATCTGCCATTTGGTTCCATTCATACCCTTTATACCATTTACATTATATGTTATACATACATATAACCAAATTCTAAGTGCAATCTACAAAGAGAAAGATATGTGTGGAAAATAGGTTGTATTATAACGATTTTGTATGAGAAAGAAAATATATTATATTTTCTCACACATCTTTAGGACAGAATTATATCCCTTAGAGACATGGGGTGGGGGGGTTGGGGTGGGGTGGGAGACAGAAAGACAGAGAAAGACAGAGAGAGACAGAGACAGAGACAGACAGAGAGAGAAATTGCATCTTTTTGACAGATTGCCAATGGACCATTGTAGATTTTCACCAGTCTACAAAAGTTTTATTACCAAAAGCCATTATTTCTTAAAACATAAAAATTTCCAAAAATAAATACACACAACTCATCTTCCTAAAAAAAGAAAAAAACTCATGCATTTTACTTTTCAAAAAATTAGTTTATTCCTCCTTGTCCCATCCTGTCTTCCTTTCTTTTTCTCAGCTCTGGGGAACCCACCTCTGTAGCTGTGCTTTGCCTGCTTTTCAGCGAGGACCCTATTTATGGCAGAGTATTTGGACAGTGCTCAGGGCTATTTAGGTTGGAAAATACTGAGTTTATGATAGCAGATCTAGAGCTAAAAGATTCCTTGGAGAAGTTGTGTACTTCAACCCCTTCATTTTACAGATGAGAAAACTGAAGCTGATTGATACACTGATGACTGACGTTGAATGAGTTGTCCAAGGTCACAGTAATTTGGCAGAACTCGGCTTCTGACCCGCATTCTCTGACCCCACTTCTTGCATTCTTTCCACTGCATCCAGCTGCCTCACTGTAGAGCAGCACTTCTTAAACTGTGGATTGTGACCCCATATGAGGTCATGTGAATGTGGGGGTCATAAAAAATTTGGCAACAGTAAAAGGTTTCTGAATGTGCTACAACCAAAAATTAATTAAAAATCAAATGCATAATGAATCTGAGGAATTTCTGGTAGTGCTTGGCTGTGTTGCATGGCATACTTCACTACAGTCTTGATTCTGAATACACAGCATGTGCCCTGCACATGCCATCATGCCACTCAACACCAACAAACGCTGCCAGAAGACCTTGGCTCAGATTCGAGATTATCGTATGTTACAAATTGCAGTGTTTTTACTGTATATACAAGGTTTTCTGCTCTTACAGAAACACAACAATTTAATAATGGAAAATAAAGACTTTTAATATTTTCCTACTGTAAAAATAAACAAGCACATCCATCTCATTAGTATGCAATTTTTTTTATCTTTAATAAATGTAAAATTATATGTACACTAAAGAATTGTTTTAAAATAAATTTCTTCATGATTTATTATCAGTAAATATTTGATTTGTATATGTATTTCATATACCTATATACCTGGGATTATGTAAAAATTTCTCAGGCAAAAAGGGGTCACAAATAGAAAAAGTTTAAGAAGCCCTGCTCTAGAGTAAATGCTATCAATCCGAGGTCTGGAGACCCTCATGGGATTCTTGGAGAGATTTTAGGGTCTCTGTGAACTTGAATGGGAAAAAGTCATCTGTATTTCTCTTGTAAATAATATATATTTTATTATATAAATTTAAAAACATTCTGAGAAGGAGTTGATAGGCTTGGATTGACTTACAAAAGGACTTATGAGACACAAAAAATGTTAAGAAACCAACTTCTCAAGTCAGTTTTACCAACGTGCTCTTTTGTTTCAAACATCTGTTACTACAGTTGGTGGCTTCATTTGAACCAGGAAGCTTTTCATTTCCAACTAAGCTTTTGTTTTCAAAGCATATAAAAGAAAGAGTGACTCTTACCGTTCATTTTCTCTTACGATCTCCTTCCCTTTTTTCCAAGTATAGACAGGCCGAGGGGAAGCCTTTGGTTTACACTCAATGACAACTTCGCCTCCCACTTTAACAAGGGTCATCCTTTTCAAAAGGGTTCTGGAGAAGTCTGGACCCAAAGCTGAAAAAGAATATAGCAACTTAGTTGAGGAGGAATCTGATGGTGACAAAATGGGCAACAAAATCAGATAAACTTTGACTTTTATTTATATATCTTTCATTGCCTTGACTATCAGAAGTTGGACATCTTTATCACTGATGGAATTAGGGCTTTTATTTTAAGAGAAGAAAAAAAAATGGCCATGTCTTTAGAACGGATGGTATTGGGAAAAATGTTTGGATGACTGACTCATTTATTTTTATCTGGAAGACTCAAGTCATACAAGCACTGATGATGTTAGAAAGGTGGCTTGGCATAGTATATGGTAGTCACAGGGTCATAGATATAGAGCTGGGAAGGATCTCAGGGGCCATGTGGTTGAACCCCTTCAATTTATAGTGAAGGACTGACACCCAGGGAGGCCAAGTGACTGGCCAAGGATATACAAGTCAGTATTAAAAGGAGGCTTAGAACACAAGTCCTCTGACTCCAGAGGCAATACTTTTCCCTTGTATCATGAGATAGAGTGGTAGGTAGTTTTAAATTCAGGGATATCCAGGTTCAAATTCTGCCTCCAAACACACTGGCTAACTCACTTAATTGTTTAATATCCCAGGTAACTCTCTAAGACAGTGAATTACAGCTGAGTCATTGACTTGCATAAATAGAGGCCATTTTGACACTGGGAGTTCCCTACAATTTCTTTTTTCTTCTCTTTTTTTTAAATTTTGGACTCAAACACCAAAACTCAAATACACAATAGAGAAAAGAAAAAGAAACATATCATAAACTTAAATACTGAAACAAATTCAAAGAAAAAAAAAGCATGTCGTGCACAGCAGAAGATAAGAGAGGATCAAAATACATAGCAATAAATTTCCATATCAATCAAGAAAGTCTGTACTACTCATTATATTGAGAGCTGTCCAGCTTTGCTTCCTTGTTTTTTTTGTTCTCTGCTATGCACTTTTTACTTTGTTCTTTTTTCCTCCTATCCCCTCCCCACTACATTTAAGTGTGGATATATATTTTTTTTCCTCTTCGTTTCCTATCCTTTCTGACTCCTCTACTTTACTTCTATGTGCTACCTTGTCCTCCTATTACTTAGCCTAGCCCCCTCCAAGGATCCCTCCCCTATCCTCCCATTCCCATTGATCTAAACACCCTTCTATACCCTCTTCCCCTTTAACCTATTCCTTCACCCTCCTCTCTGGAGATCCCTTCCTTGTCTTCTCCTTCTGCCCTATCGCCTTACGGTTTCATTTTTTCTGAATTTAAAAGACTTTCATACTCTGCTAGATATATATGTATTATTCCCTCTTAAACCCATTCCCAATGAAAGTAGGTTACCACAACTACCAGTCCACGCCCCCCCACCTAATTCCTCCGTATCAATTCTTCCTTTTGTACTTCATCTGTATGAAATAATTACTCTTTTTGTCTGTTCCTAAATGGTTTTACTTGTTAAACTCATATCATACTCAGGTCTACCCCAATCTTTCTTATGAACTACCCAATTACTACTAATAATCTTAGACATACGTTTTACATTTTACATATATAAAAAGTCAATGGTCTGTCCTGTAATCAGTCTTTGGTATGTGTCAAATCTTCTATTAAGTTCAGGTTATTTTTTTTTTTAGGCAATTGGGGTTAGGTGACTTGCCCAGGGTCACACAGCTAGTAAGTGTCAAGTGTTTGGTCCAAGGCCAGTCCAATGTCCTCCTGACTTCAGGACTGGTGCTCTGTCCACTGAGCCACCTAGCTGCTCCCTTTTTTTTTTTTTAAAACAAAGTCTTGAAAATCTGACAGTTGATCAAATGTACTTTTTTTTTTATTCAGGATTATGCTTAACTTTGCTGGGTACATTTTCAGCTAGAGCCCCAGTACTTTTGTTCTTTGATATTTACTGTTCCAAGACCTGCAGTCCTTTAGGGCCTCTGTGGCTAGGTCTTGTGTGATTTTAATTGTTGCACCATTATAGATTTTTTTTTCTTGTTGATTTTAATATTTTATCCTTGAGCTGGGATGTGGATTTGGAATTTGACTGTAATATTCCTGTGAATTTTCCTCATAAAATCTCTTGTGATGGATGATGGCTGGATTTTTTCTATTTCTACTCTGCCCACCCCCCTTATTCTAATGCTTCAGGACAATTTTCTTTAATTATTTCTTGTATTATTGCATCAAAATTCTTTTTTTGATCATAGCTTTCAGGTAGTCAGATTATTCTTATGTGTTCTCTTCTTGATCCGTTCTCCAAATCAGTTGTTTTTCTTATGAGATGTTTCAGAACATTCTCTTCTATTGTTTTCATTCTTTATAATATGTTTTACTGTTTCTTGGTCTCATAACTTCACTGGCTTCCCCTTGCCCAATTCTAATTTTCAAGGAGTCATTTTCTTCCTTAAGATTCTGGATCTCCTTTTCTAATTGGTTGACTTTCTTTTCACAATCTTGTTTTTCTTGCATTATTCTTATTTATTTTTTTCTTTATTTTTTTCTCCACCCGTCTCATTTGATTTTTACATTCTTTTTAAAGTTCTTCTATGAATTCTTTTTGGTCAATGGGTGACCATTTGATGTTACTCTTTGGGGTAGAAGAGGGTTTCTTTGCTTCAATATCATTCTCTGAAGATGAACCCCTATCTTCTCTATTCCCATAATAAGTTTCTATGGTTGGATTCTTTATCCTTTGCCTGTGCATTTTTTGTAGTAATAGCTTAATTTTTGTAATCACCTCTAGCCCTGGGGTGTGGGGGATGGTACCTCTTGCCCCAGATCTTCAGTCCTCTCCTCTAGCCTGGAACGAAAGCCAAACCTCCAGCTTCCTGAAAGTGCCCACAGCCAGGGAGGGGCCTTCTGCCCCATTGCTTCTTCACTCACTGGGCCTGTGCTGGTCTCCTCTCACCTCTGTCATTCCCCATAGCACAGCTGGGTCTGGCGTTCCTTGTCAGCAGGGGCTCCCTTGATCTCTGCTGCCTCAGATGCCCAACTCTCCTCACTATCCTGGGGGTAAAAATTCCTGTGCCTGGGGGAGGCAGCCTCCCAAACCAGTTAACCCCAGCGCTTGCCTTTGTTGTTAACACAGACCCCAAACTGGAGGTGTTTAATCTACACCAGGACCAAACCTCATCTTGGGACTTTTCTTCTGATCTTCTCGAATTGTTCCAGGAAGACCCCTGTTGTGCCCCTATTCTTACTTATTTTTACCTGAACTTTGTTCAGTCTAAGGTGCTATTTTATCTCTTTTGTGGGGGAAAATCTTGAGAGCTTGGAATTTTCTGACCTACTCTACCATCTTTCCAGAATCCTTTCTCCCTACACTTTTATAAGCATTATCTCCTACCAAAACAAACAAATTAGCTTATGCTCTAGCAAGAATTTCCTAAAATATATCATAAAGTACCATTCCTTTCCTTTTGATGAAGAAATAAGAATATATATATATATTTTTATCGTCTCCAGACACAAGTGGTTGCTTAACTTGCTTGTTAGGGGGAAAAAAAATCTGATTTCTCCATTTTGCCTGTATAGACATTTAAAGGTCACTCAGAAATACCACTGATAAATAATTTTCTCCATAAAGGAATGGAGGCATAGGATAACTGGATCCTCCAAAAGCAAGATAATGAACATCCTTTTGGGGAACCTCTCTTCTCTTTAGCGTAACATATGCTTGTTAGAATCTCTAGTGTAACAATGATTAAACTTGGGAACCTTATCAAACCTTAGCTTCTTAGTGGGACTTCAATAAGGCAATACCCACCAGGATAAAGGTTTGGTAATAGGGAATTCTCAGGTTGTGTGAGTATGTGATTGAATGGCAGACAGCTTTCTAATTTGGATTCATGTTAAAAGCGATCAAAAGGTACATAACCTTTGACATAGAAATCTCATATCTGGGCCTAAATCCCAAACAGGTCAAGGATACAAAGAAAGACCACATATACACCAAAATATTCATTCATTAAAAACACTTTTTTTTGATAGTAGTATCAAAGAATTGGTGGCAAAGTTATCATCATAACAGCCAGCACTTATATCACTCTTTACAAAGGTTTGCAAAGTATTTTAACACAGATTATCTGATTTGATCTTCACAACAACATTAAAGAAGGACTTGCTAGCAAAAGTAACTGGGATTAAGTGACTTGCCCAGGTCACTTAGCTACTAAGTATCAGAGGCAGGATGTGAACTAAAATCTATAGTTGTATTTACCATGCCACCTAGCTAGTTGGCTATTATATTGGAAAATAGCTAAACCAGGGACAAAGAAACTGTGGCCTTTAGGCCACATGTGGCCCTCTAGGTCCTCAAGTGTACCCTTTGACTGAATCCAAGTTCTACAGAACAAATTCTTTTATTTATTTATAAAGGGATTTGTTCTGTGAAGTTCAGATTCAGTCAAAGGGCCACCCTTGAGGACCTAGAGGGCCATATATGGCCTGAGGCTGCAGGCTCCCCACTCCTGGGCTAAACCAACTAAGGACAGGTATTTAATGGAATATTATTGCCATAAGAAATGAAAAAAGAAAAAAAGAAAAGAAAAATTCAGAATCACATGAGAAGAAATGTGAACTGATATAGCATATGAAGTGAGCAAGCCTCAGAAATAATCTACATAATGATTATGACAATGTAAATGGAAAGAACAATAAAATGAAACTGAACACTGTGTAATCATAATCACCAGGGCTGGCCTTGGAGGAGAGATGGGAAAAATATACGTCCTAGACTTCCTAGGAGAAGTGGGGGACTGATTGTCAGAATTACAGAATTGAAGAGTTGGGAGACACCTCTATCACCATCTAGTACAGAGATTTCCATTAAGCCATACCCAACAAGTGTTCATCTAATCTTTGCTTCAAGACCTCCAAGGAGGGAGATCTCATCACCCCTCAAGGCACTCATTCCTATTTTGAACCGCTCTAGTTGTTAAGAAGTTTTTCCTGACATCAAACTGAAATTTTCTTTGAAACTTCCACCTATTACTTTGGGTTCTGTTTTCTGGGGTTAA